TGTATCACGCTTTCGAGGCTATATAGAGGGCACACGTTTTATTACAATAACGGATCATCAGCCCCTCAAATGGTTAATGAACCTGAAAACTCCTACTGGTCGACTAGCAAGATGGGCTCTTCAGCTACAACCGTACGAATTTGTCATTCAGTACACTCCAGGTCGCACAAATGTTGTTGCTGACACATTGTCACGACCACCATGTTCAAATCATGATGATAGTAAATGTACAATCTGTCGTTTCGAGGTGGAAATTCCAAAACTAACTGAAAAACACTTACGTGAAGAACAATTAAAAGATGAACATTTAAAAACCATTATTGAAACATTAGAAGAAGGAAATGAAACAAAAAACTATGTAGAATGGACTAAGAAAGGTTTCCTACTACACAAAGGGGTTTTATATCGTTATATACCAGAACAAGATGACGAGAACGCAAAATTATTGGTTCCACGACATGAAATACCAAATATACTTAAAGTGTATCATGATGACCCAACTGCTGGACATACGGGTGTCGAACGAACACTACAACGTATAACAAATAAATTTTACTGGAAGGGACTCCGGAAAGATATTATAAAGTACATCAAAACATGCGTTGAATGTCAAAAATACAAACCCACAAATCAAAAACCAGCTGGACTATACCAATCTTCTCCGAATTACCACAGATTTGAGGTACTGTCAATTGATCTGTTCGGTCCGTTACCCACAGGACCTCAAGACGAAAAATGGATATTTATTGTAGAAGACACAGCCTCACGCTGGGTAGAATTATTTGCCCTAAAAGAAGCTACATCTGAAAATTGTGCTATAATATTAATAAATGAAGTATTCCTACGTTATGGCTTACCAAGAAAACTAGTTAGCGATAACGGAGTACAATTCATTTCGGCAGTCATGCAAAAACTTACATTTTGTTTTGAAATAAAACAGGTATATACACCTGTATACCACCCAGAACCTAACATGGTGGAAAGGAAAAACAGAGATATGAAATCACAAATAGCAATTATGGTTAAAGAAAATCACCACAATTGGCCAAGAACATTACCAGCAATACGCTTCGCGATGAATACTGCTATGTGCCAAACCACAGGCGCTTCGCCATCATATCTAACATTTGGTCGTGAACTACGAACTGTATATGATTTAACACATGATTTAAGTACAATTCTTGAATCAGAAAATTTTGTGAAAGAAATCACGCCTACTATGAGAAAGTTAACGCAAGATTTGGCATTAGCAAAGAAAACTATTGAACAAAATCTAAAAGCAAGCTGTAATCGAGCAAACGCTAAAAGAAGAAAAGATCCTGGATATAAACCTGGTGACTTAGTGCTGGTTGAGACACATCCAATAAGCAGTAATGAGAAACAGTTCACAGCCAAATTTGCTCCACGCAGAGACGGTCCTTATATTGTCCTTAAGAAACATGGAGTATCCACATATGAGGTAGCAAACCCAAAATCACCAGAGAAATCCATGGGAAAATATCACACTTCAGCATTATGTAAATTTGAACAAAGAGATGGTAATGTGCCCACACCCTTAAATCCCATAAGAAAAAGAGGGAGACCAAGGAAGATGGATACTGATCCTGGTACTCAGTCGGGACGACTATAGAGTACCAGAGGGGGAGATTGTAACAAACATACAGCGCCATCTAGCGTAATACGATGAGCGGCAGTCATAAACTAGAAGACAGCTACAGTAGACAAGTGACGCCATCTATACACTGCGTGTGGGACTGTCTGCGTCAGCGCCGGTCCGCATCACCACTACAGACATCAACGTGTAGATATTGTGCACACATGTAAACAGTCTGCCTTTATAAGCAGAACAGTCTTTGAGCATTTCATTCGACTAGCTAGAGGATCAGAGTTCGGTAGCCACGCAGCCAATTCTGAGCCTAAGTAAGACTAGTTCCTGTTCGATAGCCTAGCGGTCTTCAGGAACTAGCCAGCTAGGGGAGGTTGAATGGCGATAGCCACGCAGTCCCTTTCATCCCTCCACTTAGGGTTGCCTTAAGATTAGTGCATATTGAAAAGTGTATCTTTATATAAGACAATAAACTATCGTCTAGTACAACGGGGCTTTAATTTCAAAAACCAGCAACCCTACAAATTTAATTTATATTTGACAGGTAAGCCGATGTGACGAATATGTACCTTATTATATATATCAATAGCTCTAAACAAAAGTGAATTAATAAAGTTGTCAGTGGTTTTTAATAAACATGAGCACCCAGCCAGAATAGTATAAAATTCTTTTGGCATAAGAGCGCAATTGAACATAATGTTTGCATATAATATTAAAATAATAAAAAAAATTAATTAGTTGGCAATAACTATTCACATATTGGAGTAGGAACTAACTTTTAAATTGAATTAACTGAACTCTCTGACCTCTACGACCTTTGCGTTCAATTTAACTGCTATCATTAATTTCATCAGCCTGCTTCGATAGAACCTCATCCTATCATCCATTTCATCTATGGATTTACCTATCAACTTTCAATTTAAACTTTCCAAACAGATCGAGATCAAGTTTGTTATCAATCTACGAATTCGGAAAATTTGTTTGGAAAAACCTTCTTTGAGTTTCCCCGAAATTATTGCGAATGAACCTGATTTTTTCATTTCCTTTTGATACGAAGTTGATTTTTCTTACAATTATAATGATATTTACCCTAGAGCCGTCCATAAACTAGGTACTGAGTTAATTTCTAAGGAAGTAATTAGGTCATAAACTAAATATATTTATTTTACTAAATATACAAGCCTGATGATACAATTTCAATTGCTTGTTCGTTTTATATGTGCTTCACTTTATTGAAGAGAAGATTCTAATTAATTTAATTCTGTTGTACACTAGTTTACGCGCTTCTCTCAGTATTGCAGTCAGTCAACGACGAATTTGTGTCAAACTTTAATGTTGAAACCTAATGAGCTTTCCCCACTTAGTATAGTTGAGAACTTGGGCCATTAAATGTTCTATTATGACTATTAACATTTCAGTTTAGAATTACATTTTGTTCTTTGGTTACAATCTTCATAATATGAAACAGTGCTTTTCGTAGCTCGTAGTCAGCGTAGCCGCTACAATCGCTACGCCGTAGCAACAACAATATTTCATGATGTTTTTTGACTGTGATTGCGTGTAAGCAAAGTCAATTAGAAGCAAGTTATTATAATAATATGCTATTAACTGGCCGGCAGCCGACAGCTGTCCTTCTATCTATCGTAATATCTGTTACCAGGTAGGACAGATTATACTCTAATGTCCTGCCTTTTGTATTAAGTCAGTTTTTACCCGACATCTATTGATATAATGTCCTAGGACGGCTTCTCGCTTTGTGTTCTAAATGGCTTACAACTTAGCGATAAATGTCAAACCTGTTTTAAACAGAGTCCCTTCTGTGGGTGAAACAGTATTCGGTTCTAGTATTTCATATTATGGTAATTTTACAAGGTACTTGAGGTAAATACTAGATTATGTATACTCTTACACAGTAATTTGCGACTCCTCATATCCTAGTATTTTCTTTATGTCATTATACTTTTGCATTCACGTTTATGTGCTTATATCACCAAAGAACTTGTACTTGCATTTGTGTACAGCATCTTAACGCCTTGGAGGTTGAGAATTCTGCTAAAAGTAGCTGTTTACGTATCATCAGCGAACGTAAAGAAACTCGTTAGATTAGGGTCGGCGCGCATTAAACTCGCGGCTTTTCACTCGCAGATCGTCAGTTGTTGATAAATCGCTAAAAGTATTATGTTTTGTTTACTTTTAATTATCAATGGGACGCATGTAGGTTTTGTTCGGGAACAAAATATTTGTATTCATTTCGTAGTTCTGTTTTTAGTATTGATATATATTATTACTGTTTTAAACAGAAATAAATTTGGATATTTGTTTTAACGGTTGTGTTTGTGTCACAATAATGTTTTATTTCTGTTAACGGATTACAAATGGCTGATTAGATATACATACATTTAATTGTGAGATAGAGCAGGTAGGTTTAATCGTAAAAGGTTGTACTTCCAAACACACATAGACTACGTACTGTATATAATTTCACATTGATTTTCAAAATGCACCTATTTTTATCATCACATTATATATCGCTTTAATATTCTTACACACAGACAAGAGGATGTGTTGTGTGTGAAACAACAGATATACTTACTTCTGATTTTATCAGTAGTTTAAGAAAACAATCGTAACCAAGTGAAGCGTAATGAGAGGCTGCAGTTGACAGGCTGGCTCGCTGCAAACTTGGCACAGACTTGCTATATTAGTTTGCACGGCAAACGATGATGCAACCAGTTTAAATCGACTTAATACTTCGAAGTCATATGACATATGAGATTGCCGGATGTACTATTTGTTCACTGTCTACATTATTAAAGACCTTAGAAGACCATAAAGGAGAGGATAATGATATTTTATGAAGTTAATAATCGTGATTGTTTTTGTTAAACAAAAATATACCTTTCACGAAAAGTGGTATTTTTATGTATAATTTATATAAAATTTGTTTGAATAAAATTTAGAAATGATAATCTGAAACAATATTTGTAAAAATGAATAATTAATTCGAACAACACCAATAAAACCTCAAGTTGCGAACAAATCCGTTTAATTAAAACACAAGACTAAAGTTTTCGCAATAAGAGCGTCCCGCGGTGAGTCGCGCCGTGGCAAGGCCTCGCGCGGCTCGCAAACGGCCCGTGAGTTACAAAGTAAACTCCGTGAGATCACTAACTAGATTAATGTGGAGTTACAACCGTTTTGTTGAAGTTATACAGATGACCTGCCCACAATGGAAACAGAAGCGGTGCTATCAACTCGAAAGTTGTAAAACGACACAACAATTATAAAAATAAAAGTGTCGCATGTTAGAAAATGAATTGGAAGTTTTGTAGATCAAATTAAAAATAAACTTTTTAAAATTACTTTAAATTGATTTGTAGCAGATGGTACTCACCGTCCCTTGACGGAGTCGTCATCGTCTGCGGAGCCGTCTCCTTGCAGCTGCATGCCGCCTTGCGCCCACGTCACTGTCAGCCAATCTGAGGACAAATTAAATATTCTATTAATATACCTCTAGAAGAGAAATGAAATAATTTATAACAGATTTTATTTTACTTTCAGTATCTTAGTTTGTTAAGAAAACAACGAAGAACAAAATCTAGGCAAACCATTTATATCCAGTCTGAAAGTAAGAGTGACGAATCGAGCACGCAAGTTATAAACTTAGTTGAGGAAGCCGATCAATATTTTATATATAGAAGAACCTTTCCGGTAATCTTTATTAATGCGAAGGTTACTAAATATAACTGAGATACATCCTCCTTACTGGAAATACGCAATCTTCTACAGATAATATATTTTGGAACTTCATTTTATGTGCCCGTATTTCGAATTATAACTCCGTTCTTCAAATAAAAACTTGGGTTGGAACTTGCAAAAACTGTCGGTAAAGAAAGTTCGTGTTGGAATATAAATCATTGAAGTCACACGTAGGTTTCAATAGGCAGGCATAACGAACTGCTTCTGACGGTCCCTTGTTAAGGATGGCGTCACGCTAATATGTGGTTCGCTGTCTATATTCAGTATACAGTACTGTTGATATTTCTCGTTATTTACTTGTAACTACACTTTAAGAGGACTTTTGTCATTGTGCCATAAAATAATAACACTCTCGTTAAACACCCATAGTAGGGTGTGTTTAAACTCTTCTGCAAAAATGAAATAAAACCAGTTATGATAAATGTATTCACTTCAAAAAGGTAACACGTATAATTAAGTTTTAGAATAGCATATTAGATGATTATAGCCTGTCAAGCTTCGTGTTAGATAGCTGTATGTTAAACAACTATATGAAAGGGACAAATTATATTAAATCTGATGACAAATTTACAAAGTCATTCCCTCTCACTCACTCGACGTTTACAAAGTCACACACATTCGACAGTTTGTATTCACACATACAACAATCTAGCATACTATATAATACGTGTACAATTCACGTAAAAAAGTGAGTACCGTACACACAAAGTCTTTTTGGGAAAGTTGTGAATAAGTCCGCCCGGGTTGCCGGCGCGCTGCGAAGCCACGCTTCGGAAATCAAACAGAAAAGTACTAGCACACTTTGTACTCCGATCAGGGACTGTCCTTTCCCAGATAACTTCCCGATCGGTAATTGAATTAAACACGGCTAATGGGATGAAGGTTCTTGATCTGCACAAAGGGCTTCCCTTAAATTATCTGCAAGGATATATCGGATCATTTAGGGAATTTTAATAAAACGAGTTTTCTAGCTCGGAAGGGATTGTAGGTAATATACGTCCACTTTTAAGGGTTACTCTGGAACTTAGAATGTGTTAGATAAGAATATTTTAATGCCCTAATTTAATGATAATAGATTATTAATCACCTTGCGGTTCTACGCATAAACATTTATAAATATACAATTTATGATTTTATTGTAAAAACATGTCTTGTGTCCAAGATAAATGTTTGATGTAATATTAATAATAATGTACATTCACAGAGGCCACCCCTTCCTGGAACACTTGAGTAAAATTTTAATAAGGTTGGTAATAATATTAGCGTTCTTTATTACGGAGACATTTCCTCGGCTCGTTCTCGGAAAATTATCTGAAGGAAGAAAACTTTCCTAAATAATTTAGGAATCTTTATTATGAAAATTACTTTGAATATTAAGTTTACCTTTGTCGTGGGACCGCGGTGGCGGGAAACACTCCTACTTACTGCATTGTCCCTTCCTCTTTTATTTACTGTAATCATTTCTCATTTATAATGTGGATATTATTGTGTACGCTGTACACTAGTATGTAGACTACGTGTTATTAATTGTTAATACCATCAAGATTGTTAGTACTTTCTGTTTGAAAGATGATATAAAATAGCAAATTGTTCCTTATATTATTCTAAGCCTACATATTATGTTGTGTAGCATTATAATCGTGAGGTCAAAACACAATCTCAGCAAATTCTGTTTAGAAAACAAAAACCAAAATTAAGAGAAAGTAATAATACTCTTTAAGATTCCATGTGGATTACCAGAGACGTTGACTACAAGTAAAAATGTTTCCTCAACAAAATATTTGTTTCTTTTTTTTTTACTTACAAAACAAAAAATATATTTACTTCTAAATGAAACAAATTGTTTTGCGAAGAAATTCATTATTTACGTAAGAGTGGTTGTCATGGCAACGCTCCCACAATCCCTTAAACTTGGCTACTGCTCGCGAAACCTTTACAAAAGGACTCTGTACAATACATTGTTATTCTTTGCTTTGTTTTACAATTCCACTGGTTTTTTTTGTTTGTAATTAATAAAACAAACGGAATTGATTCTTTTTGATGATATTTATTTTATTTTATTGGAGACACAATACAATGTTCCCGTCAGTCGCGTTTTCGTCAAAACATTCCGTTGAAACTGTAAGTACAAAGGCTAATACATATAAAACCTAAAGTTGTTTTACTCATCAAAAGCCGCGTAGATCAAAAACAAAACACGAGTAAAACAACAACAAATACTGAATAGAAAATGACAACACAATATAATCACAAAGCATTCCCTGGATATTCGCAGTGCGCGGGCGAGAACATATCTCGCGTCACTCCGCATAACTCTGCTGCTATGAAAAGGGTTGAGACGGCACAATCTCCATACACGTTGTACCTGTTAGGATTTATACTCGTAACTCGACTGCAATAATGTTTGACTATTAATACGTCGCGTCGCACCGGAGCGAGGATAAGCACTCGATTTTATAAATACCTGATATTTTCCTGGTATATTGAATCGGTTATTTGCAGATGTCATGTTGTGTCGGTATTTGATTTGTTGCTTTAGATTGTAGGGGAGTTTTTATTTGAGATACGCTTTAATGTTATCTAGTATTTTATTATCAATACTTAATACTCAGTTATTTATATGTTTACGAAAGTTTTTATCTTTTGTGCCTTGTTACTTAAAACTGACTATGCAAACATTACACAATTGCCTATTCTTAGCGCCTGTTTCAGGCCCTTATTGTGCTTAATTGATTGCAACCATTTACTTATTTTGTAGTTACTTAATTTTATCTATACTTCTATACTGTTACTATAATATTATAATTAGGTAAAGTTTGTAAGTTTGTACATATGTAGGAGGTGATCATTGGAACCTTGGTCGGATTGCTAAAATTATTTCACTAATGGATAGCTACAATGTTCCTGAGTGCTATAGGCTATAAAACATCACGCTACGATCAATTGGAGCTGAGCAGTGGGTGAAACCGCGCGAGAGTAGCTAGTCATAAATAATTATCAGTTTCATAATAAGTGATGAATGACCACTAACATACTTTTAGCAAAGAACTATGAACATATGTACCCACTACTAACAACTAAAATAAAAAAGTTAGTGTAGTTCAAAGATGGCGGCACTAGGAGACAAAGTGCGAGGTGTTGGCCGGCCGCCAACAAACATAATAACTGCTCTCTTTGACCTGTGAGCACCATACTTCACTACACTACTACACTACACACTTTTTGCACTTTCCAAGGACGGGAAAACAAAATACGACGGTAATACACTGATACTTCACATATACAGCGTCTTGCCTTGCCATTAGACCCTGACCATTAGATTATGAAAGGTGATTAAAAAAAGAAGATTCTTATCAGTAGTTAAAAGTTTTGTTTCTATTTATACAATAAATAAAGATAAACTATTTGACTCTGTGTAAGAATAAATAATAGATTATTATAGTAAACCGAAAGTATCAAACAAAGGGAGTCACTTTTGAAGGATTTAAATACGCTTAATTGTCTCGACCGACTTCTGTAGATGCCAAAATATCATGTCGTTTAAAACCAATACATAGATGCAAGTAAAGTTAGGAAGTTTCTTAAAGAAGACTTCATTCTCTTCTTGCATATTTATGCGTAGTAGATTTATATATATGTAGTATACTGTAGATAATAATTGTAAAAGATACGATAGGACTGCCATATCTATTTGGGTAAAATTCCTTAAATAAATCTCAACAAGTCTCAATCTAATCATCGAAACTGAGAAATAATGCTAGTAATCAGTATAATATTACAAAAAGACAATTTCAAGCGCACGGCAAAGAAGGCCCAACAGGGCTGATGTTGTTGTTAAACAAGGTCAACAATGTTCTCTGACCAGGCCTGGAGCAGCAGAAGGAACTTAAGAAAGCTATACAAAATATTTACTTCTGACTAAACATACAACTTGTTAGCATAATTAAGACAAATTAAGTAGATGACCAGGAAGCATCACGTCTCTGAATCCCCGGAGTAGGTTTTCTTACTTCACCAGGGATGATTCGTCATTTAAACAAAAACTTGCATCTTTTCTAATCAATATTGAAAATCATTATCATAAGCCTAAAAGTGCGCACAAGTGAGTAAAGCCTCTTTTTACACGGACGAGGTTTGAACACTTTCAGCATCAATCACCACGCTGGCTCAAAACGGATTAGCGATTCCAAACTTATAATTAGAAATTATAAAGTTCAGGTTTCCTCGTTATATTTTGTAATGGTTTCTTCGCCGTTTGTCAGTGGTGTCTAAATAAAGCAAGCAGTACATGTAACACATCACAAGCCACATTGGTAGCCAGGTTTAAAATGCGGGTGCCTTAACCTCCAAGCCACTGCAACTTTGGACACGACTTGCGAACAAAAATCGCTATAACACAGTTCACACGACTCAGATAATATTTGTGTATCCATACATTATTGTAAAGACTCGCTATGAGATTTTCATATCACATTATGCAGAATCCAAACGTCAGATATTTGAAGAGGGTAGATTGAAACGTCTCCTGAGACGTTTCCCTAACAGTTTGTACACTCACACTCATTCCTTCTTGTTTATATGGATCGTGATAATAAAATCATATTTTTTTGTAACCAAAAAAAACTGGGATACTATAGATATATCTTTAAGAGACAACAATACATGAAAAAAATTAATAAACTTAGCGGTAAAGCATAAGCAATAATATATTTCCTCCTATCCTCAAAGTATATTAATTAAAGTCAAGTAAAGTCAAAATCATTTATTTCAATTAGACTACAATAGGCAATTTTGAACGTCAAGAAAACCAAATTTAAAAATGTATTTGAGGAGCTTTAACTTTAGGCGTGTCAGTCGTCCTCTAGTGAAGTTATTTGCTCGTTCCAAAGTGTTGATTCCTATGGAGAAGAACGAGATACTATAGACCATATTATAGGTCAAGAAATGTTATAGGGAATCGAGCGATCCAGTGCCCGTGCCACCGCCAATGAGACCTCTGAGTGAGCATGACAACTCCCAGCTGACACAAGTACCTATATTCTACAAGTCTAACTTATGTATAATAGGTTTGGTTAATTAAATAAATTGATTCGATTATCAATAAATAATATTTCATAGACGCAGTGGCTGGACAACTAGCTGCCGGGGAACGTGTTGCGGGCTCGATTGCCGCACGGAATAACTTTGTGTCAACACTAACAGATGTAAAATTATATGTTCCTAAAACGCACCCACGAGGGAGGGAGTCTGGGGCAACATTTAAAAAAACTAAATTAAAAATAATTTTTGCTTCAATGATATAGCAACATCCTTTTTAAACCAGTTATGTTATACCTCCCATAATAATTAATAAACAAACAATCAGTTCGTACAAACAAAGGAAAGTCGTAAGTTCTCTATCTAAAATCATCCGATAAAAATCACATTACCATTTACATCATGTCCTTGATTCAATATGAAACTGAAATGAATAAGCATTATTAAAGCAAATAGTTTGATACGATCAAATGAACTGTTATGATTGAGTTTCATATCACAAAGGTACGAGTACATATCAAAAACCAATATCTTACCATACCGAACAAATATATGTATATAAAACAAGAAAATTGAGCTTCAATATAACTTCGAGATGTATATCATATACTTCGAACTTTATATAAAAGTAATATTTGGAAAAAAATGTTTATATAATGTCTCAATCAAGACTAGACAGTGCTTACAAACTGGAATAATACATGTAGATAGAAAAATTCCATTTATTTGTTTTCTTTTTCGTAAATGATTTTTGTAAGACATACATCTTTTATGATTTCAATAGAATACTAAATAAAAATATGTAATGTTTAATAATTTTCACGAATCAAAAAAATATTCCAGCGAAATTCATATAAAAAGTAATACATTTGTAAAAAAAAAAATCATTTCAATCAAATAACATTTTAAAGTTTGGCTATTCAAGTAGTCGTAATCCAAACAAGTTTTCATAAAATAAACATTTTAAAACTTAACAGTCTCAGGTACATGACCAATAAATATTGAAGAATTGTTGAAACAGAACCACTCGAAAAATTAAAGCAAACGATTGGAAAATCATCGAAACTAATTAAATAATATCAGCAACACTTGTAGGTTATAAGAACAACTCGCTAATTGGCCGTAACATTTAACCAAGTGATTTAACCTTTACTGAAGTTTACAAAATCTTATTTATAAAGAGCGTTTTGTATTTCAGAGGAACTGAAGTGGCCATTGAGTGCTACTTCATTCTACTAAATTCGGTTAAAAAGTAAATTCAATTGGAAAACATTTGAACAGTTTATTAATTATAGTTTATTTTATAACTTTCTCGTGGTTTTGTTCCAAGAAAAGTAAATGTCAATAGGCTTACTTTAAATTCTTTTATAGTCTCATAATAAAGAGGTTGTAATAATAATTAGAATTGAATAAAACACAGTCTT